GAAATGGTCTCCCTTTATTTTTTTATTTATTTTTTAAAGAAAACAAAGACTGAAATGGTCTCCTACAGAAACTGTTTCTTCAGAACTAAGTTTCTCTAAAAATTACGAAGTAAACATGTCGCTGTTTTTCTTTAACAAAATAAAGTGTGTACTCATTTAGTAGTTCTCTGGCCTCAAGGCCTCTCCTCTCATGACCTGCTGGTCTTTGTATTTTATAAAAAGAAAAAAAAAGGTGAAAATATTTATATTTTAATGCTTGAAGTACATTTCATATACTTAAACTTGTTTTTTTTTCACAGGCTTTAACGTTTCTTTTATTTGTTCATTGAATTATATTTATGTGATCATTTGTTTAATTTTGTCACTTAGTGCTTCTGATTTACATCAGAATCGTTTAGTTTAGGTTTTGTTTAATCAATAGTCATTAATCAACGAGTAATTCATTGATTTCGAGTTGTTTAGACTAACAAACACCCAAACTACAGCTGGTGGACCCCTGAGGGTCCTGGGACCTGTACATGAGAACCTCTGGTCTGTTTGATTAAAGAACCATAAATACAGGATCAATGGGATCAATCATCAAGTTAACCTGATTTAACTTTAACATGAGCTACAGGTCATTACTTCTGAAGTTTATTATGATTTATATACTTTTATTAGTAACTTATGGAGATTTATTCTGAATTTATGGTAAACTCTCTGTACTTCTAGCAGCTTCCTACCATCCAGGACACTCAAAGCTCTTCACTCAACAACCTGTCCTCGTTTACATTTATGGAGATAGATTCTGTCCAGTTAGCATACCCAGGCTAACAGCTAAGTGCTAACAGTTCAGTCAGCCTTAGATATCTGGAGCTTTTCAAAATAAAATCCTGAGTGTACAATTTGTAGACACCAGGACCCTATACACACCAGGACCCTGTAGACACCAGGACCCTGTAGAAACCAGGACCCTGTAGACACCAGGACCNCAACTAAACTAAAACTAAAACTAAACTAAAACTAAATTCAACTAAACTAAAACTAAAACTAAACTAAAACTAAACTAAACTAAATTCAACTAAACTAAAACTAAAATTAAACTCAACTAAAATTAAACACGTCAAGACACGTCTTGTTGGAGCATCTGTGACCAAGACATCAAGTCTTTGTGATGTATCAAGAGCCACAGTATCCAGGGTAATGTCAGCAGACCACCAAGAAGGACCAACCACATCCAACAGGATTAACTGTGGACGACACAGGAAGCTGTCTGAAACCTGATAACCTGGATTGTATCAAACATACATAAAACCACAGCAGAATTAAATACACACCTCAACTCTCCTGTTTCCACCTGAACTGTCCATCAGGACCTCCACAGGGTCAGTATACACGGCCGGGCTGCTGTAGCCAAACCTTTGGTCACTGTGCCAAACGTTGGTTTCAATGGTCAAGGAGCACAAGTCTTGGGCTGTGGACAATGTGAAACATGATGTTCTCTGATGAGTCCACCTTTACTGTAGAGTTACAGTGTGGAGAAGCCCCAAAGAAGTGTACCACCCAGACTGTTGCATGTCCAGAGTGAAGCATGGGGGTGGATCAGTCATGGTTTGGGCTGCTGTATCATGGCATTCCATTGGCCCAATGCTAGATGGGCGGGTCAGTGCCAAGGACTACCGAACCATTCTGGAGGACCATGTTCATCCAGTGGTTCAAACACTGTATCCTGAAGGTGGTGTTGTGTATCAGGATGACAACAGTACACACATCAAGACTGGTGAAAGGTTGGTTTGAAGAACATGAAAGTGAAGATGAACATCTCCCATGGCCTGCACAGTCACCACATCTGAAGATTATTGAGACACTTTGGGTGTTTTGAAGGAGCGAGTCAGGAAACGTTTTCCTCCACCAGCATCATGTAGTGACCTGGACACTGTCCTGCAAGAAGAATGGTTCAAATCCCTCTGACCACTGAGCAGGACCTGTATGTGTCATTCCTAAGATGAATTGATTCTGTGTTGGAGACCCTCCACCATACTGTTAAATGACTGTGGTCTAAAACCAGCTGTTTCTTTGTCCAACCCTGTAGAGCAGGCTTCAGGCCCATCAGCCTCTCTTTCTCTGCTGCAGTTCAGATAGAGACCTGGAAGGGGCAGTGGTACAGGTAATCGACCACCACCACCTGGAGAGAAGCCCATCCCCCTCCTGTCTTCTTACCGTGGAGATGGTAGGATCTTGCGCTACCTTGATAACAGAACACATCCTCCTGAAAGCTCCTGAGATCCTGGACCAGCAGCTGGCTCAGCTGCTCTACGGTATGTACCTGGTCAACTGGTTACACACACCTGTTTACCTGTTTACACACCTGGTTACACACACCTGTTTACCTGTTTACACACACCTGTTTACCTGTGTACATACATCTGTTTACACACCTGGTTACACACACCTGTTCACCTGGTTACACACACCTGTTTACCTGTTTACACACCTGGTTACACACACCTGTTTACCTGTTTACACACCTGGTTACACACACCTGTTCACCTGGTTACACACACCTGTTTACCTGTGTACACACATCTGTTTACACACCTGTTTACCTGTGTACACACATCTGTTTACACACCTGGTTACACACACCTGTTCACCTGGTTACACACACCTGTTTACCTGTTTACACACCTGGTTACACACACCTGTTTACCTGTTTACACACCTGGTTACACACACCTGTTCACCTGGTTACACACACCACTTTACCTGTTTACACACCAGGATACACACACCTGTTTACCTGTTTACACACACCTGTTTACCTGGTTACACACACCTTTTAAACACACCTGTTTACCTGTTTACACACACCTGTTTACCTGGTTACACACCTCTTTACCTGTTTACACGCACCTGTTTACCTGGTTACACACCTCTTTACCTGTTTACACGCACCTGTTTACCTGTTTACACACACCTGTTTACCTGGTTACACACCTCTTTACCTGTTTACACGCACCTGTTTACCTGTTTACACACACCTGTTTACACACACCTGTTTACCTGTTTACACATACCTGTTTACACATATCTGTTTACATGGTTACACACACACCTCTTTACACACACCTGTTTACTTGGTTAGACACACCTGTTTACCACTTTACACTCACCTTTTTACCTGGTTACACACCTGTTTACCTCTTTACACACACCTGTTTACATGGTTACACACACACCTCTTTACACACACCTCTTTACCTGTTTACACACCAGGATAGACACACCGGTTTACCTGGTTACACACACCTGGTCACCTGGATACACACACCTGTTTACACACCTGGTTACACATGCCTCTTTACACACAACTGTTTACCTGTTTACACACACCGGTTGACCTGGTTACACGCACCTGGTCACCTGATTACACACACCTGGTCACCTGGGTACACACACCTGTTTACACACACCTGTTTACACACACCTGTTTACCTGGTTACACACACCTGGTCACCTGCTTACACACACCTGGTCACCTGTTTACACATCCTTTGTGTGTGTGTTGTCAGCGGCTGTGGTGCTGGACTGTGTCAACATGTCACCTGCTGCAGGTAAAGTAACACCTAAGGACCGTCAGTATGCTGAGACCCTGGAGACGTTGTTCCCCTCTCTGCCTCAGAGGGGCGCTCTCTTCACTTCTCTGCAGAAGGCCAAGTTTGACGTGACAGGTGAGTTTCTGAGTGACACCTGAGCTCAGATGTCAGCAGGTACAGGTAACCTGACTCCTCTGGATCATCTGTGTTGGTGTTACGACCAGAAGAAAAATACAAATACTTCATGTTGAGTAAATACAATATGTTTGTACATATTCTGATATTCTCATGTACTGTGTTTTGTGTACAGCTGTATTAACTACTGGATTGACTTTTTGTGTATTTGTAATACAGTAGAACAAGTACTTTAATCCTATCTAAACACGGAGCTAAAACAATGTTATTGAAATATTTGGTACTGATTCAGTGGGTATTTATTGTACTTTTTACAGTATTTATTGATGTTTTCTTTGGTATTTTGTCATCAGGTCTGAACACAGAACAGATGCTGTTAAAGGACATGAAAGCTGTTTCACAATCCTACAGTGTCGCCGTCCCTGTCCTCTACATCCCACTGGAGGTAATACAGTACTAGTACACACTGTAGTACACACTGTAGTACACACTGTAGTACACACTGCAGTACACACTGTAGTACACACTGTAAGTCTGTAGTACAGACTGTAGTACAGTCTGTACTACAGTCTGTACTACAGTCAGACTGTAGTACAGACTGTAGTACAGACTGTAGTACAGACTGTAGTACACACTGTAGTACAGACTATGGGTTAGGGTGGTTTTCTTGTGAAATGAAGTAAACTTGTGAGTCTCCCCTAACACAACACTTCCATGTTGTGTCTGTGTGTGTCTATGTGTGTGTGTGACAGAAATTCTTAGAGAAGGCGGAGCTGGAGGCGGAGCTCTCAGCTTTCTGTCAGAAGTTTGGCTTTGATCTGCTTCTCCTGATGACGATTTCCTTCACTGAGAGCAACGAGCCAATCAGAGAGCTGGCTGTGTTTAGCCTCAGTGCCACCTGCAGGGAGCAGGTGACTACACACACACACACACACACACACACACACACACACACACACACACCTGTTGGTTATTTGTTGACATTGTCCTGACAGCTGTAACACTCTCTTCCAGGTGTGCCGATACCTGGAAAAGGCCCTTAACCCCGCCCTTAGCCTCTGTCCAATCGGCAGCCCCCACTCCCACATCTCAGCCTATCAGCAGGGTAAGGTCATTACCTGCTGGTCCAGATGGGGGTGGAGCTTTATGTTCAAGGCGAATAGTTGATTTTTCTCATCTGAGCTTCGTTTCTTCTCAGGGAACGTTTTAGCGTCCCGCAAGAAGCTCCTCCCCCTCGTTAAAGACTTCCTGGTGGAGTGGGATGGGGACGGTTTCCCTGGAAACACAGAGGAGGAGGAGTCTGTGGTCCCCCCAACACCCATGAACAGTCTGGTGGAGGGATGTCCTCTGGACGGAGGTCTGCCTCCCATCAGTGCTCAGGACCTGCAGGACAAGTTCAGCCAGATGGAGACGTCTGACCTCTGACCCCCTCCTGTCAATCATCAGGTCCTCAGGTGACACAGAGGGCACAGAACCCAACCTTTTTATTAATGGATCCAGCTGGACTGAAGCTGGTCCAGCAGAACCAGTGAGTCCAGATCCAGGTTCAGCTGGGCCACTCCTGTCCTCTGGAGGGCTTTACCATGTTTGTATCTTTTGTTTGTTGAATTACAACAAAATAAAAGCTCTGAGGGACGTTCACTCTAGATCCTTCAAAATAAAACTGTTCAGCATGTAGTCCTTCAAAATAAAGCTTGTTTTGTGTTTAATAGTTGTTTATTCATTCAGAAGGTTTTTATTGAAACAAATTCCTCCTTCAGAAAGTCTGGAGCAGAGACCCCCTCGGACCCCCTCAGACCCCCTCAGACACCCTCAGACCCCCTCAGACTCCTCTGACCCCCTCAGACCCCCTCAGACCCCTCGGACCCCCTCAGACCCCCTCAGACTCCCTCAGACCCCTCAGACTCCCTCAGACCCCCTCAGACTCCTCGGACCCCCTC